CTAGTAGCTCCTGGCCTTACTACTAGGAACAAGAAGCTACTGGTGACAAGAAGCTACTAGTAGCTCCTGGCCTTACTACTAGGAACAAGAAGCTACTAGGAGCACCTGGAGTGCCTGGACGTGACTGAAAGAAACACCCTCTGACTCCGTTGCCTTGCGCGGCACGGGACCGCCTCTCGACTTGCTGCGTCAAAGTCATCAACGAACACTCGACAGGTACGAAACAAAATGACGATAAACACCATCCAAAGAATTCTAATGAATGATGTCCAGTGCTTTTAATTCCTGAAGCCCACCGCCACCCAAAGTGTAAATCACAAATATCAAAAGTGTATAATAAGAGTGTCTTATTTTGCCTCATTATACTTCCCTACCATTGGAAGTATAAGAAACCCTTTTAAAGGCAAAAATACTTGTTGTAATCTATCGAGCATAAAGCCGCATCTGGAGTTGTATGGCTCAAACGGGCTAGAGTTGTTTGTTCGGACCTGGCTCGGCCGAAATGATTGAAGAGCAGTGGCTCATGTCAAATGGATGCATGTTGATGCACTCTACCAGTTCCATGTCGCAGTTCTCATCCACTTTATATATGTTATAAACGTCTTGCGAAAATGGGCCGCTGAATCAATTCTGCCACGGTGCATTGGCTGGGTAGTGTACGAGTTGAAATATGTGGATCCAGATGAGTCCTCCAGCCGCTTTGGAAAAGCAGTAGCTGCAATCGCAACTCAAACTTCACACCCTTCAGCCTTCAACACGAGTTTTCCCGACAAAGTCACTAGTCACTAGTCACTGGCGTCAAAAACACCATGCAGCTAAATTCGCCACACGACTTGGGTGCCAACAAACTGCCATTCGAACGGCAGAAGAGTGACGCATGCACTTCGCTGCCAGTTCGGAACGGGCAGTGTGGGCTGTCCAGCTAGTAGTAACAAGTGCATGGCTAGTAGTAACAGGTGCATCGCTACTAGTAACAAGAAGCTAGTAATTTAATTACTAGCTTCTTGTTACTAGTAGCGATGCACCTGTTACTACTAGCGATGCACTTGTTACTACTAGCTTCTAAAGATGGAGTCCGATGGAGACGTTCAGAACGTTTTCCGGAACAAAACGATGGGCACTTAGACTTAGAGATCGTGGGCCAAATGAAGTGCCAGGTGGGCTAACAAACCTCCAACTCGAAACACTGGTTTCAACCTACATAGACCACCAAATAGAGAGAAAAGTATAATCCTGTTTAAAACGTATCGGAAACCGTTTATTTACTTTATTTCTATCCATTGGGGGACCGCTATAGAGGAAGTTCAAAAAAATCACGTACAGTATATAGACTATATAGAGCCTAACTTTGGCGTCCTGGCTAGACGGCTGATGCAAAATCCGTCCGGTTGAGTAGTACCCAAAATCTGAGCCATACTGCGCATCAGTGTAGAACTCCTCCAGGGAAGCAATGCAATTCGGAAGTGCAAGGAAGCCTCCCTGAAACAGGGTTCGTTCCATACTGCACCTGTATGGAAACAGTAGCCAAACTAAGTTCGGTCGTTCGGCCCACCCTCTCCTGGAATGTGTAAAAGTCATCCTGGGTCGCAGCTGAGTTCCAGGACACCACACAATTGAGCCGGACCAAGACAATGACCTGGCTGCGACAAATGCAAGCTGAGAATGCTTGCACTTTTGAGGGGACCTTTCTCCAAAAAAGCCGGGCAAAACAATGAACACTCATCATCTTTGACTTGAACTCCACTGGCACACTGTGCCAGTACATTGACCCATCGTGTGTTACTGCCTGTATTGTCAGCACAAATTCCAGCATAGCTGTAGCCATTTCATTCTGATGCAGCGCAGTGTTGGACACAGCACTGTAGTGTGAGAGGCTTGTTAAGAAATGCGCTTTGGGAGTACTACACTTATATAGATCCCATGGGAGGACCTTTATGGCGTACATAGTGACCCCAGCCTGTGAGGAAAGCACACAATTTGGATCTGTTTGGCAATGAGCCAAACCAGGAAGACTCAAGTATACAACTTCAGGAAGCTGCATTTATGGGCCGTGGTTCTGATGAGGGTCAAAAGGGGAACCAAGCAAGATGCATTCTCTTTGCTGATCCCCATTGTGACGGTTGCATCGTGTGCAACAGTTACAAACAGGCTTTGCTGCGATGTGTTGTTGAGGTGTCCGCACTACTAAATGCCATCTTGAGCCAACAAGCCGCAGTAATAACTTGGTAACATGTGCCACAGAAGCTGGCGGATGAACACAAATCTCAAAAACAAAAAATGCCCTCAACCCGTTCCACCATTCACCTACAAGCGATCCATAAGTTTAGCACATGGAAGAGACTCGACGAAGACAAAAATCAATTTGTTGATAGCTTTTTCTTTCTTTCTAGCTATTTCCGAATGAGAGAGAAAGAAAGAAAGAAAAAAGGAAAGAAGACACGCCTAAGTTCTAAAAGAAATGAATACAAAAAGGATACAAAGTAAAATATAGAAAAATAGCGATCTCTTCCGCTCATCAACCGGGTTCAGGATCTTCATATCTCTCGGGTTGAGGTCCGAGTCCTCCATGCTCCATGATCGCAGTTGTTGCAGTTCGGCGGGTCAACCACCACTGCCCAGGGTTCAAATTCGTTCAAGTGGTAGAGGTACGCTGATCTAAGCAAGAAGGCGGGTCTTGTGCACAGTCTGTGGAACCACTTTTGGCAGCTTGAAGAGATCATCACAAAACACCGAACGGTGAGACGAAACCAACAGGCTACCAAGTTGTAGGGCCTGTAGGGTTTTCTTTGCGTGCTTGAGCTTCCACACTCCACCAAACTCTTTCAGCAATTTCATTCATTATTATATAAAGGATCATGATCACAAGTGGCTTCGCATGTTGTTGGTTCAACTTTGATGACATATAGCAAGTACTTCAAGCTAAGCTGCACTATCCATTCGCTTGGTTTCCTCACCATGTGCACAAGCCTGGCCTCGGTGAGCAACCAAATTGATCTCGTCGGAATGCAGCAAGAATCAAAAATCAGGATTGCCCATGCAAGAAATTTGTTGGAGTGGCACTGCCTTTCTCTCTTCATTCATTGACCTAAACTCTCACACACACCCACACACACATCAAGAACATAATTACTGTAGATATTGTTAATTATATAATATATATATCAGTAATTATTACACACCAAGTGGCCCCCTCTGCCAAATAGTTTGATATTTCACGTTCTGCCATCTCCGAAGGTGCCACCCAATACGTCATCCAGCGCCAAGAGCCCTCGTGGATCACACGCGGATCGTGGGAAAAAGAGCAGTGAGCAGCGGGTCGAGATGCATCTTTAGGAAAACTGAGGAAGCAAAAAACAAATACAACATATAAAATAAGGATAAGGAATAAATAGGATAAGAAAAACAATAAAATAAGGGCTCCTTTATACTGTATCATGAGGCCCTCTTTTGATGTTATATATACTCCCGTGCATTTTTCACATGGCACCTCACAGCACTTGACCCACGTGGGGCACCGTCTCTGTCTACAAAAAATCTGAGCCCCGACGGATGAAGCCCGGACCTTGCTCACAAAGACACTGCGTTGCCAAGATGGACTTGAAGGTGTCCAAAGTACGCGTGTCCATTTTGGCTCACCTCGCGACGCGGTTATTTTTCTCACATGCGGCGAAGGAGGGCCACAGGGAAAAGTGGGTGAAAAAGAAAGTCTTTTAGTAGACACTGCATCAGCATTGTGGACAAGGTTTCTCTTGCTTTACCTACCCATGTGGATGCCAGCTGGTTGGAGATTCTGGTGCCTTAACTCGCCAACCTGCCTATCCCTCGGAAGCAGCGTCTGGAAACAAATGAATCCACAAAGCAACCAAAAATCAGCACCCAAAATCAGCCAAACAAATCAGCGGCAACCCTACACTGCCCTACACCCGAATTGCTCCACGGCATGGTTCCAATCAAGGAACAGAACATAAAAGAACCCTCTGCATTTTGTCAGTGCCCAATGATTCCTATATGCTCATCACTCGCCCCGCAGCGAGGTTTTCGTCAAACCGATCAGCAGCTCTCACGCCGAGAGGCTGGGCTGGGCACCGACCAGAAGCCGCAAAAGGTCCGGCGATGTATGCAAATTGTATGATAGAGTGGCGCCAGACTTATGATAAACCACAATGATAGACCCTTGGCGCCAGGAATTGGAGAGCTACAGCAAGATTATTGATCAACTATGCACAGTCGGAGGGAGGTCAATTGAGAGCTTCATTGGTGAAAAGGGACCAAGTGCACTAAAGCAAAGCGGCAAAATGAAAGCCAGAGCTTCGCCCACTGTTTTTCGCGAAGGCTTATCCTAGAATTGTTACAAGGTGCCAGAAGAGTTGGTAGATTTCGCCACAGGACCCAATGGACTCCGTGATATGGATCTCCAAATGTCCATGGTGAAATTGTCGGGCTCCTTCAGCGTTTAGACGCCCAAAAACAAATGCATGAGAATCTGGATGCATGAGTGACCCGAAAGCAAAGGAAAAGGTTAATGCTGGCTGAAACTATCGAAACTTCATAACTCATAAACATCCACAAAAAATAGCTCATACTGGTGACTTACTGTACATTGTACATTTACTGCAGCACAAAGTGCAACGCACTCCATGGTACAAATCAATGGCTGATGGTCTTTCCTGGAAGGCGTGCATTCGCTCAATTCTTCTTGCTTCACTGTTGCATGTCAACAACTACAGTGACTGCACATGCGGATGGTATGGTCAGAAGGTGGATGGGGCCATACGGCCCATCGTGTCCTATCAAAGCCATTCGTTCTCAACCTCTGGAGAAAACGAACATCTTCCAGTGGTTTCAGAGTAGATGGCAAAAGGGCCCCCAAGTTCGGTGGCTATATATGCACCCCCATCTTCCAAATAAAAACGCACTTTAGGTTCGTGCCCTCTTCTTGAATCCGGACTTCCGACCGTCCGTGCCTCACCGTCTCGTGACCACGACTCGTCACGAGGTCCGGTGACGAAGCGCCCGACTGGGCCGTTCGACGTTCGGTGAGCGGAGTTCGTCCAGAGCGGAACAGCAGCTGCGTGCATCCCAACCCTGCAGAAGGAAGCAGCTGCTGCTGCCAAAGCCATCATAGCGCAAAGGGTCGCAGCAAGTCTGCCAGAACAGGCAAAGAAAATAATGAATCCAATTTGTTTGGCCTACACTGCTGGAAAAAATAAATGATTTCTACAAAAGCAAGAACCCAAATCGGCCCTCCAGGCCTTCCATATATTGCCAGGTCTGATGTTGCTTACCTACAATGGCAAGAAGGGTTGCAAGTGTGGGTTGAGGGCCATTCCATTTTGCAAGAGCAAAAGTATGAGATTTGAATTTGCGCAATCTTTTCTTGAAACCTCGCTTTCTAATGGAAACCTGGCATATGGATGCAAAAAACAGGATCCAGTACACATGAATAATGAAATATCATTGAATCATCTAATCTAACATAAACGATTGCAACCTTCCAGACATGAGAAACGTCGCCGGGCGACTCTACATGCTTCGTGAACCTCCTGGAGGTCAAGACCGCCAGCATCTGCGCTGTCCTCCTCAAGCAGGAACAACCCGGATACTTCGTGTCCATGGTCAATGGTGCTGATCCAACTCTTTGCACAACTTTTCACCTATGATTATGCAGTTCGATGCCTTGGCCTGAAGCTACGAATGCACCGCAGGTGAGCTCTTGCAGGCTACGGGGACCAAGTCTTGCAAAAGAACAGCTCGAATGGCATCAGTACTGCAGCCACCCAACCATCAATTCCAAAAGAAGTGCTCTTTGCTGAGCTTGTGAAACTTCATCCCGAAAAGAAACGGCACGCATTCCTTGCAGCACAACAACACCGCTCCCCCGGCAGATAGCTTCAGCAAAAGGCTTCCAACTGCCCAGCATTTCCATGTCTACCCAGACTCCCTTGACGTCAAGCTACAACCAGACTGGCCTGGCAAAAATCAGTTGAGCTCTTCACATCTCTTCACTTTCACCAGCGCTACAACCATCGTTTCGGCAAGCTTCGGAGCAAACTGCTAACGCAACAGCACCTTGGAGGCATCCACGCGAAGTGAATCGGACAACTCTCTTGAGAAGATGAGTGCATGGCAGTCTCCAAAAGAAACCTCATCGTTGAAAGCCAAGAGGCCCGTGATGGCTGATGTCAGCTGCACCATGAAAAGAAAGCATGGCTCGTGGATAGCTGCTCAAAGCAAATCTCTAGCGAGGTATAGCACTGCGGCATTCCAATGGGACTTTAGCTCAACTGCTGATCATTTTATTTTGTCTTGGTGTTGTGCCTGCTGCTCAGGAACACGCGATTTGTGGTGAGATCTGTTACAGCAAATCGGTTGGGACACAGCCGAAAGAGCTGAGGACTAAATATGCGACACTGGCCACCCTACCACAAATGGATGTAGAAAGAGCTCCACTAAACAAGCAACCAAGTTCTTGAAATTGGCCAGAGACCTGCCCCTATCTGCCGTGATTCAGCTATGCCCCTGGGGCCATGCACGTCCAGATTTGTGGACAACGTGACCAGCTGGTCGTCAGATTGGACGGGTATGGAGTACCCTGAGCTGCACTTGTCAGACAAGTGGTCTTTCATCGAGTCTGGACGATGGATGCCCATACTTGCTCTGCTTGTTCTAGTCTAGGTCTAGGTTGATGAATGCAGCACACGCGAGACGATGATCAAAAGGCGCGGTCAGGAAGGGGCAACTTCCATAATCCTAAATTGCTCTAAATGAGCACTTATTTTCTAAATGAGCACTTAATCTTGATCTGTCCTCCAC